CCAGAAGAAATTAAGACCGAAGCGATACTACTGGTGCAGCCACGCAACTCGGTCATAGACTTCTCAAGATTTGGTTCGTTTCTGAAGCTGCGACGTACTACAGCTTGGGTGATGCGTGCAGTGAACCTGTTCCGAAAGCAGCCAAGAAGCGAAGTTAATTCATCAACGAGCCTGAACGTGACAGAAATCGAAGCTGCCGAAAACATGATTTGCAAATTAGTCCAGCTGGAGTGCTACGCGAATGAGATATCCGACTTGGCAGCGGCGCGCAAACTTAGTAAGCGAAGCTCTCTATGCAAGCTGTCACCGTATGTTGATGAAATTGGTGTACTACGACTGAGCGGCCGCATCGATGAGGCGGCATACCTACCATACCAAGGGCGACGACCGATTTTGCTACCACCAGAACACGGAGTGTCAGCCTTAGTTGTCAAAGAAGTCCATGACAGGAACCACCATCAGAATCTCGCAGTAACTATCAACGCCATCAGACAAAGGTACAGGATTCCCAATTTGAAGGCGTTACTTATNAAAAATAATAGTTGAAAAGAGTTTTTACACATGATTATCACATTAACTCATAAGTGCAAATTATTGTGATTATTTTTAGTTGCATATAATTTTATTACCTTAGACTTTTTTTAAATGTTTTCTAATATTCATTCTTTTGGGACCCAAAAGCAACCATGCGCTCAATTTCTTGTGGGGAAATTTGGTCCCCATAAAGGACTTTCACCACGAATCAGCTACAAAAACAAAAACCTTTTCTACTGGTATACTGTGCAATGAACGTTTTGACAGCGCCGGCGATGACATTTGTTCAAGCGACGTGGTAGAGTAAACAACTGGGAAATAAGAAAAAATGTATAATTTAGTTAATAAAACGCAAACAAATACAACAAAGCCGAATTATTTACGGCGGTATAGCTTCATAGGAAGGCGGCCCAATAATTTAAATCATCAAATAGACATTTGTTTTGTTTTTGCCAGTGAAAATATTTGTGTATCCTCGAGCGTTATTAAAAAAATAATGTCATCTTTTATCGAAATAGTATTAATAGTTGTTAGGCACCCTGTAATATATTTTTGTAGGTGGCAACGCTACCGCCACCGAATTGATGGACAGCAGCTAAGTTGACTAATGAAAATTCTAGAGATACATCGATGGAAGCTTAAGCGAGGCGCACGAAACACACAAGTGTAAAACGAGTCATATAGCGTATCATTTTATATTCAAACGAGAAATTTAAATTTCATGTTTTTGTTAAGCTTCAATAAATAAGCATATACATAAGCGTTAGCAAAGTTTATTTAATTTCCGTGGAACGTATGCGGTGAGCCATTTCTTACAATAGTGCTACTTATGTAAGAGGCTCGCGAGTGTTTGAAGAAAATTAATTCTCGGCGGCGGGAGTGGGTAAGACCTCTTTACTTAAGTCGCGACATTGATGGACTATTTGTAACCAGTTTTGACGAAATGTACAAAAATGACCCGGAGCAGTTCAAAACTACGGTGAGGATGACTAAGGAGGTGTTTGATTTGCTCTTTGGGCTCGTGAAGGAACGCCTCATAAAGTGTTCCAACAGGCCGTCGATTTCTGCAGAGATGAGACTATTCTTAACATTGAAGTAAGTAAATATTTCTAAAGAAAATTCCATACTGATTTGTGTGCATTACATTCATAGTTTCCTAGCACACGGGGGAACTCAGCATTTGTACGCTACAGCGTATAAAATGGGTCGCTCCACAGTCAACAAAATAATTTTGGAAACCTGCGAAGCGCTTTGGAGTGAACTTGGCAGTGTATATTTGTCTGTGCCAAAAAGGCACGAGTGGAAACGTATATCCCATGACTTCAACACTATTTGGAATTTCGCGTACTGTGTGGGCGCAATCGACGGAAAGCACATCACTTTAAAATGTCCTTCCAACTCCGGATCTCTATTTTACAATTACAAGGGTACTTACTCCATCGTATTATTAGCATGTTGCGATGCGAAGCACACATTTACTTTTATCGATATTGGTGCGTACGGTTCGCAAAGCGACGGCGGTGTGCTTTGGAATTCTGGATTTGGTCAAAGGCTGTTCCATGATCAACTAGACCTGCCTGAGGATGACTTTTTACCAGACAGCAATATTAAGTTTCCTCATTGGGCCGTATGAATTTCAATTTTGTTTGAATAAATTGAGTAAAAGATCTGAAATTTTAAGAAAAAGCAATTGCTTATTTTTATTCATACGGCCCATTATTTCGTTGGAGATGCAGCATTTCCTTTAAAAAAAAATTTAATGCGACCATATCCTGGTTAGTATACGGAAAATATATTGCATAGAAAATGGTTATGTTGAAAGTTGCATTTATAGTTTGGAAATAAAAGAGTCTGATGCTTTGCATTGATACAACTTGCAACTCAACCATTATTTGCATCTATACTATGATCTATACTATGTGCATATGTATGTACATACAAATAAGCCTTTTTTTAATTTCAGGATTGCATCTGCCACCCGATCGTGAAAATTTTAATAAGCGCCTTTCAAGAGCTCGGCGTGTTATTGAAAACGCCTTCGGAATTATGACAGCACGATGGAGGATTTTGCTATCCCCATTGCAAATGCAACCATCAAGCGCGGAGAGCATCGTGAAAGCAACAGCGCTGCTACATCATTTTTTAAAGCTAAACGATGGCAGTTATTGCCCACCTGAATATGTTCATCGATATGAAGGAGACAATGTATTAAATGCATTATGGCGCCAAGAAATCTCAACACCCCTACGAGGAACTGGTCGATCAATGTCAAACAACGCTACAAGAAGTGCTTTCATGTTGAGAGATCAATTGAAAGATTATGTAGCCACGCATCCTATTAATTAAATACACACCTATTCAATGAAGTCACTCACATAACATGTAGTTGCATACAATAGAAGTATTAGTCATTGCGGTATGTAAAAATATGTAAATATTAAGCTGTATATTGCTTACTTTTACAATTATTTTGCGCACTTTTTCTACGACGCTAAAACTCAATGATTAATTATACTCTTCTATAGAATATCATGAGCTTCCTGGACAATCAAAATATGCTATCCTTAGAAACTGCGGATAGGTTGGCGCGTATGTCACATGAAACTGGCGGTAAGTACATAAGTCTTCTGTGGACTCATTATAATACATCACTGAATCTATTATTTTATTTTGCTCTTTTCACGAATGTTTTTTAGATGGCAAGGCATTGGTGCATCAACTTCAAGTTAATTAAATTCACCAGATCATACAGGCACGCTTAGTCGAAAACATTGTTTACAAATACAAGTGAGATATCTTAGCAATAGACGTCACCCTGGGCCACAGCTGCGATCATCTGTTTTTTAGAGTTGCTTATTTTGGTCTAAACTGCGCTTTTTTGACCTGAGTTGCATTAAATAGTCTCTTAAAACTTGGTAGTATTTGTTGTTCAAATGGTAACATATATGTCCAAAACTCATGGTGAAATGAACTGAAGGTGGCACATTCCCGAAACCGCTACTTTGGTTTTGCCGACTTTGACATTTATGGCAATACGTAAACAAACTTTTTGTTTAGAAACAAGTGCAAACGTATTGCAAACGTATTGTGTACTTTCAAGTGAAAAATCGAGGTAATTCGTGCGTTCTGAAGTAAAAAACGTTTTATTTGTATAAAAATGTCGTGTCGTGTGTTGAATTGCAGCAGCCGTAGGGGTAAAGCCCCCAAATGCAGTTTTTTTTGTTTCCCCGCGACGACGCCTTGGCCAGAAAGTGGGTAGAGTTCTGCCGGCAGGAGAAGCCATAAAATTTAGACACCAGCGTAATATGCATGAAGCACTTTACGGACCACTTTTAAACACGACATGTTAAGTTGAAAACGTTGAAATACCACAGATTACAAACTAAAATCGGGGGTAAGCAAGCATCGACCACTTTCTGCAGGAAAACATGCGCTGCGACAAGATATTATCACTTTTTCGGTACCTGCAATACAAACACAAAAATTCTAAATAGTTAATTAATAAGACCTATTCTTTTGAACACATTTCAAGAATGGTTGTATATTTTTTGTTAACGTAGTGCTTAATTGGCTATATTCAAAGATGGCTTGAGAAATTGGTGAATCGAGAAGAAAACACGTTTTCTCACTGCAAATTCACAACTGTCAACTCATTGTTCTTCGCCATATTCTTTGTTTACCCGTTGCCACAAATGTCATTCTGCGGGAATGCGCAATCTTGTATTCTATCATTCTTGGTGCTTATACATATCACAAGATAACCAATAAACAACCTTCGGTGAATTTGGCGACTGCCTTCCTCGGGGATGAATATGCTAGGGATGAAATTATTGGTACACACGCCTTCCAAGCACGCAGGGTTGCTTTTAAGAAACAAAAAATAATTAACTCCAAATAGTTTCAAAAAGTATAGTGTAAAACGAAATTTATTGAATAATTCCACATTAAGTGGTATACATAAATGACTCATTTTCTAAACGATTTAAATAAAACGCATTTCATAGCCTTTTTTGTGCAAACGACATTTGCGAATTGATAGAAAAGTACTACGGATTGTAAATTTTTGTTAACTATGAGGTGAATGAAAATTTTCAACCCGGCCTGACGGTTTTGAAGAATTTTTTTGTTCTAATTTTATTACTAAGGCGTCTAATAAATGCATGGCTTTTAGTTCTAGAAGAATAAAAGTCAGTAAAGACAAGTCTTTTTTGTATAATTTCTGATTTTAATTGCTGAACTTCTTTTGCACCAGAGCAACTGTCAAAAATTTCCAGCAGTGAAAAGTTACGAATTGGCACAGCAGAAATGTAAAATTTTCTCGCCATAATAAAAAGTTTTTTCAACATGGAACTTTTCTACTAATTGACATGAAATTACTATCTCAACGCTCGGAGCGCTGCCACTGAGGGCCTTTGCCAACTGATAAAAAAGAGAAAATTTGGAAAGACCAAACAAAAATTTTGAGATTTCTCGTTGTGAATACGAATGCCATAGTTTTTACCTAGCTCGTGGGACTACGCAAAATTTTGACAGCTTGTAAATATGTATACACATAACGTTGTTGGCAGTAATTAAGAGTCAAAATCAAAATGGAGAAAAGAACAAAAAGCGTACGTTAGTTGTCAGTTATAAAATAAATCCAATTTATTTGCGAATATTTGTTTATTCTATTTATTGAAAGGCAACCACGTGGAAAAGCTTGTGTTAATTATATTCATAACAGAACCTGGCAGCTCGCACGTTGTCTAAATTCTCAAGTAACAAAAAATCCACAAAAGAATACATTGCTTGTATTACCATCAATACGCCATGTATAAATTTTAACAACACACAAAAATAGAGCTTTCGCAGGGGCGTTTGTTTGCGTTTTCAACACCATTTATAATTTTCTTTTAATAAAATCACGATTTGTCAAATGCTTAAATTTATTTATCTAATAATAGTGCAGCACACAACCCTGAAATCTAAGAAAAAGTCTGAGGAAGATCATTAAGTAGTAGCACACAACCCCGTGCCTTCCTCAGAAGTATATATATCTACATCAACAACGACTACTACAACAACAACCAAAAAAGGTTGGTTACTGTCTATACTGTGATACATATGTACATATGTAAATTTCTGCAAATTAAAATGAAATAAAAATGCGAGTTTATAAAAACGTGGTAAAAATTAATACCACGGAGTTCTGGTTCAATGATTCGTCAGAGGATGAGAGCTTAGAAAACTGGCCAGGAGCAGAAAAAGTTTGAGAGAGTTTAAGTGTAGTCTTCCGAATATATTTTGATGTACAATATATTTAAGAAATTTTGTGATCCAAATCTATTTAAAATATATTAAAACTATAAAGAGCTCTATGATTTTGTTCTCAGAGATCGTGCCAACAGAGTATTGGGATTTTCTTTCATAAGTAAAGCTAGCCTTTCGAGCTTGTGTTTAGTATTTACGACGTTAGAACTGCATAAAATGAATCAAAATTGTCTAAAATTAGTGTCTCGCCGCCAAAAATAAGAAACAAATGCAAAATCATACATTTTTCACAATTTTCTACACCAACGAAAGCAAAATTCTGTTTGACAGAAAATTCGATACTCAACGAAAATTTCGACACGCTTGCATAGCTCATAATACGAATTTCACTTTCGGTGCCAGCGAAGATCGAAAATCAAACGCAACTCAAAATAAGGGCCATAGTATTTTCGCATTTCGTGCAATCCGTGCATCGTGCAAGACTTCGAGAATACCCCTATAATTTTTTCTTGAATAAATAAAATTTCTAATTAACTGATGTTTGGTGAGTTTCGCTTCAGTTATAATAGAAAGCACTTTATCACTGTCGATTTCACAAACACTTTTGTTGGAATTTTCTGAAGTTTACAACAAACATTCTACAGCTGATCGGTCCACATTCGCCAACTGCTCTAATCTTCTTCGCTTAGAACGTCCACTGCAATGCGAAAATTGCTTGAATGGTCGACCACCTTGGCTTCTATCATCAGGCTGTTCACTTGTTGATGCAGGCTGCAATTTGGTAGCATGTTTTGATAAAAGCACAACTTTTCACGTTTTCTTTTACCCATGAGCCTCTTTCCAAAACCCTCGAAGCCTTTTATATATATTTTTGGTACGCAAATCAATATCACGAGTATTCACATTTTTAAATCTGGCAATGCCTCTAACAGCCAGTATCACCAGCAATTTAAATGGAAAATTAATTCTTATTTTCTGTCACTTTCCATCTAAAATTCCAAAAATTAAAATCATTTTTCACTTAAATTGCTTTCGTGAATTTGGCTATAATAGAAGTCCCAAAATTTTCTCATTTTTGCCACTGGAGATACCAGAACTCAAACACTTCATTCCTTGAAAAGGAACAGAGGTATGAATTACCTGTTACAAAATAAAAAAAGTAATTAATTTTTTTTTTTAACAAGCTTTCATTAATTGTTAAAAAAACTAAAAGTAAAATTTACGGAACAATTTTTGTTTCCATCAAAGTAATACACGTTAATAATATGAACCAAATCGGACCATAAATACGGGTTTTCAAATATCTCGACACCTGCGCCACCTAGCGGATTAGTTCAACATTCATATTGCATTAGGTGTGTATAGTAACAAGCGTAATAACACGGGAGAGCTGCAAATTCTTGCTAGCGAAATTTTTACTAGCAGAAGAAGAATAAATGTCAAAAGCCGCCATTTGTTGAATTGGTTAGGCAAACAAAAGTAAAATGAATGGAAATCAAAATATTAATGATGTACTGGACTGTGTAAGTGCTTGTGTATAATGCAGAGTTTAAAACTGCTTTATAAATAGTAAAGTGTTTACAGCAGAATGTCAAAACAGTGCAACAACTATTCACTTGCAAGTTTTTATTAGTTTTGTGTTCAATAATTTCTTCTGCTAGTTTTCTCTTCTTCTCAATTTCACGCTCTATTTTGCTTTTACGCTCTCGCTGCAATTTTATACTGGAAATGTTACTATACACACCTATTGTCATCGAGTTCTGAGCTAAGTTTGCAGCTTCAAGTCTCTATCTGATCGGGAAGTTGGTTAAAAAGGATTTCAAGATTTGATTTCACAGGTGAAAGTAAATAAAAGCTTCTAAAAAATATATATTTAGCTTAAGGTTCGGATAGTATGTATTGTGCTTTATGATTTGCTAAAGTAGTTTTAAAAATATAAAAAATCTTCCTACCCCAAATTTAACTTTAACATAAAAATCATAAAGTCAAAATTAGTGCAAAGGATTAAATTATTCAATACTTTGCGTATAAATTTCATTTTCTGCTGTAGTAGTTAAAAAGGTACAAAAAAGTAGGAAGTCTACTACTATTTCGTAAATGGGCTTCATTTATTGCCCGATTCTCGCGTACTTCCAAAATACAACATTGCGTACAAGTTGGCGCTGTCACAACGTACAATACACCTTGTAGTATTGCACCATGCATTCATGCATGACACCGACCTACAAGTATGTTCACATATCAATATTCAGCCTCATTGCGTAAGTCGTAAATTGGGGTAAATTATACGACTCGACAACATTAGCATTGTCTACTGTCGTGCTGAAATAAGTAAACGACGAAAATCGTCGAAAACTGTGCAGTGCTGCCAAGTTTTTCCGTTTTAATACACTAGTCGAGTCGAAATTTTAGGCAATGACATGGGATTTTCGATACGATTCAACTCTCGAAAAACGACTAGCATTCGACACGACTCTCGCAATGAGGCTGATTATCTCCATCAAAGCTCGTTTTTAATCACCCCGTTTACACAGGCAAATCTCAGATTATTAGCCGTCAAATTTGTTGTGCTTGTTATTCTCACATCTCAAGGAAAACTTATGTTTCTTCTCTGTGCCACTGTGATTACGTGTTTCTGCTATATTAAACAATATAAATATATTTTAACTTGAACATTTTATTAAAAATACCTTTACAAACCTCTTTTCCTTGCTAGCGTCCATTTTTGTTTACTTTTACATTTGGCATTTCTGCTCTTTTTCGCAAAAACAATCGATAAAGCTAGGATGGACACCGACAAGTTATCGGTTAAATCTGAGATTATTTAATAATTACAGTTTAACAAGGGACGTATTTTATATGGCTAATCTCTTGTTCTAATTACAGATTAGGGTGTTAAGCTCGAAAATGAGGATAATCTACTTATATGTGAACCTAGTTTAAGCTACCAGCAAGCTATTTATAACGTTAGCATTGAAAGCGTGGATGACATTTAATTCTTAGGTGGATTTTATATCAGAAGCTGAATCTTGTGGAAATTGCAGATAAGGGGTATTGAATATAAACCCTCGATATGCTCCTTTCCGACTTTTTTGAGCTCATAATGAAGAAAAGAAAAATCAACTTTGAGCCACCTAACGGTTTAATTGTTCGTAAAGTTATTCCTTTTTATGTAATATACATTTCAAATAAGAACCAAATCGGGCCATAAATACGGGTTTGCCAAATATCTCGATACCTGGACCAAGTAGGAGATCAATTCTTCTTTCATATCGTCTCGTTCTCGTGTTCTGAGCTAAGCTTGAAGTATCGAATCTCTAGCCCATCCGGAAGCTGATTAAAAATGTATTGCAAGATTTGATTACACACAGGTGAAACGTAATAAAACTTACAAAAAAAAACAAGTTTATTTCGTTTAATTTGTAATAACCATTTCTATTGCGATATAAGCGTGCATTTAATGAAAAAAATATATATATATATTATATATTTCAGTAAACTCGCTACAATGGTTGGATTGCGACTGACTTTATTTTACATATTCGTTTGTGATACAAGTGTTTTACCTAGTGTTCATTTCGTTATTCGTTCGTCTGTGTGTATGTATGTGTACGTAGAATGTTATGCTTAAGTGTGTAACCCCCCTATTATGAATTCATACGATACACGATAAACGCTTGCATTCTGTTATCCCGTATTACGAATTTAAGGGCCGTTTGCACCATGTCTAGTTAATTTTAACTCCCAGTTAAACATCTTTATCGACGTTATCGACACCCATCATATAACATGTGATCGATAAAGCAGTTAACGTGCTTAACTGAAGGATGGACCTCCAGTTAGCGTTAACTAGACATGGTGCAAACGGCCCTAAGTCTATCGTATGAAATCCGATAGTTAGCGTTTGTCGTATATCGTAAAAATATGATATTGCCAAACGATAACTATCGTCTCAGCCGTTCGATTTCAGATGCTTGCAAGCGGTTCGCCATTTTTAAACGATAGATTGCTGTGCTAGTATACCAAATTAAAATTTCTTAATTATTTTGAGAAATTGGAATAATGTAAGTATTAAAAAGAGCAAAAATAGATTAGGACTAGTTATAAACCCAATTCAAAAATTTCTTTAGGCCGAGAGTTGTGAGTACAAAGCATCAACTAGAGCGTCTTGCTTCGCTAATGGAGGAGAATACCGACCTCGCAAGAGGAATATGTCATAAAACTGTCGCGAAACCACGTTGGGAAAAAATTACTCAGGAGCTGAACTCGTTAGGAACACCAACACGATCATCAGATGCATGGCAATGAGTAAGCATATTAGTAGTGCGTATATTTGGAACTGAAAGACTAAAATATTTTATTACTGTACGTTTGGAACGATTTAAAATATAAAACAAAGAAAAAGAGCGCTCACAACCACGCAGAGAATTTAGCAACTGGAGGTGGGCCAAATAACACAGTTCCACTCTCAAATCTGGAAGAGACGGTGAACAGGCTAATGAGCTACACCACTTACAACAATCCGCCAGGCGAAGAATTTGGAATAGAAAATAATGACGATAATGAGTCCGTTACGGAAGTGGAAATATATTCAGACCACGATATCCCAGGGCCTTCGCGAAATGTGATACCTTCGCGAGTGCATGGCCGAAATAGCAGCTCTAACCCTAAAAGGGAGAAGAAAAACAAATTGCACTCCTTGAGCGGCAGACGGATCAGCAGGCTGACTTTCAAAAGGAAACTTTGGCCACACTAAAAGAGATGAAACAAAGCCTTTCAAATATTGAAGTATACACCAAAAAAACTGAGTTTGCACCTGAAGCAAGAAGCTTTATTATTTTTTGATAAAAACCTAAAGAAATATAGTAAAAATCAATGCAAACAAGACAGTACATTTCTTCTGATTTCTTCTGCAGCTTGTCGCATAGGAGTAGAGTCATTTTCAGAAGTTTCTATTGCAATTTCCGAATTCTCATTTTGCACATCTGCAATATCCTCTTCGTCGTATGGTACATTGTAATGATTGCAAATATTATGTAAAGCTGCACAAACATTTATGATCAAAGTGGCTTTTGCAGGAGTGTAGTGAAGTGCGCGAGCACTTAGCAAACAGCGAAACCGACTCTTTAAAACCCCAATCGTCCTTTCAATAATATTCCTTGCTTTAGAGTGCCGCGAGTTATATAAACTTTCTACTGAACCTTCTTCAGGATTCCTGTAAGGTGTTAGCAAATAAGGCGCTAAGGCATATCCAGCGTCACCTTAAAACATAAAAAGTAAATAAATTAAATATGAAATGTTTGAGTTACAAGTTGAGTACCTAATAACCAGGTGTTAGATTCACCACGGTTATACATTGACTCCAATTGTCTTTTTAATCCCGACATTTGAAAAACCATGGAGTCGTGTGTAGTGCCAAGCACCCCGGCATTGATGTATTTTATATTCATTAAATCATCACAGGTCTAAAACGGGCGCAAAATTGTAACAGGAAAAAACATTAAATTTAAAATACTTTAAATTACTCTATAGAAATTTGTTTACTTACTAGCATTGCATTTATGCTAAAATACTCCTTTCGACAGTAATACAAATGCTGCAAACTTTTTTCTGGTGCCACAATCTTAATGTGGGTCCCGTCAATGCATCCAATTACTCCGGGAATACCACTTGATGCAAAGAAGCTAGATTTTGCTCTTCTCTTTTCTTCCTCAGTATACTTGGAGCTAATCCACTTACTACATAGAGTGGTTTTCAAAGCACTTAATGTTTCTTTCAATACAATGGAAACAGTAGGTTGGGCTAAGCCAAGTAACGCCTCATTACCAACACTCTGTTGGTATGATCCCTGGGCTAGAAATCTTAGAGTTGCGCATACCTTTATTATATTTGGTATGGATGACTTATTTTTCCGTACACGCAATTCGTTTTCTACTTCATTCAGGATATAAATAACTGCTTCTTTGGAAAGTCGAAAATTCCTCTGAAAACTAAAAGCGCTTCTTAATTATTGAACTTTTAAATGTACATTTATGAGCTACCTACAATATAGAATTCATTTCCAGATTCGAAGCGTCTCTTAAATTTCTTCTTTCGATAGCCTCTATGCGAGTCTCATTATATCCTTCATTTAAATTTATAAAAACCGCAATTGATATTGTAGAAAACATGTCCTTTAATTTTTTTTTTATTGCTCTGTCTCAATTTCACAAAATAAAGTAAACAAAAACCATGGTCATTCACAATGNCCTCTATGCGAGTCTCATTATATCCTTCATTTAAATTTATAAAAAACGCAATTGATGTTGTAGAAAACATGTCCTTTAATTTTTATTTTATTGCTCACTCTCAATTTCACAAAATAAAGTAAACAAAAACCACGGTCATTCACAATAGTGCATCTATCGGGCGTATGAAAACGACAATACCAATACTGATTTCATACGATACGCTTGCAAGCGTTTATCGTTTATCGTATGGAAATTCATAATAGGGGGGTAAGTGTATCTCTCATATATGTACATAACATCTCTCTCTCTTTCCTAAGGTTTACAATGTTTCAGTAACAAGAGTTACAAGAGTTAGAATTGAATAAATGGTTGCAATGTACATACATATTTATGATAATAAACGTTTTGGTATTTTACGTTGCCTTTGCGAACGGCGCAGCATGGTCTCGGGTGATTCCAGTGTTGTTGTTGTCGATGTCGGCTTTTGTGATGTGTCTGACTGTAGGTTTTTGTTAGCCTCTTCTCCGCCCTTTCCACGAAGTGTTTCTTCAGGTGGTGCCTCGACAGGTTGATGTGGTTGAGATGATGATTGCGATGAGTGATTTGTGACCGCATCTGGAGTCTGATGTGACGATAATGAATGATTCTGAGCTCTTCCCATTTGTTCGCTAACTGGACCTCCCGCTAGCATTCCTGTTGCTTTAGAAGAATCTTCCGGCGTATCGTCGATTGATACTCTTGATCTTCGCATTTGGTCGATATGTCTCGTCCATTTTCGACGTCTGACACTATAATGCAAATCGCCTTTATTTGCCTCAACTACTCCAAATTTCCATTTGGGCTTTGACAGGTAATCGCGTACTGCTACTCTTTCCCCTATGTCAATCCTCTTTGTTGGTAGTGTCTTACCGAATTCCGCTTGACCATTTTGCGGCAAAAGTAAATCCAAACGTGTTTGTATTTGCCGCCCTAGCATAAGCATCGATGGCGATTTGTTAGTTACTGGGTGAATGGTTCGCCNTTTATCGGTATGCCTCTACCAGGTGCAAATATTTGTGATATCGCCCGATTATCTGTAACGAGCGTAAATTGTCTTCCATATAAATATTGGTAAAACTTGCGTATTCCGAAAATAATTGCGTATGCCTCTTTGTCGAGCTGCGAATAGCGTTGTTGCACTTTGCTTAAAGTCTGTGACGCGAACTGAATGGGTCTCTCAGTGCCATCTTCATACATGTGGCTAAGGACCGCCCCTACCCCGATTGGGCTAGCATCCACAGCTAACGTGATCGGCAACTTTGAATCGTAGTGGGCAAGAATTACGTTTGATTGCATTTGCTTTTTTATTTCCTCGAACGCCACTTTGCACTTTTTGTCGAATGACCAAGTCACTTTGTCTTGCAGCAATCTATTGATCGGGTGAACTATGTCGCTTAAGTTTTTAACGAATCTGCCATAATAGTTCACGAGCCCCATGTATGCACGAACTTCTTCACGGTTTGTTGGACCTTGTAGCGGCAGCGCTTGCCTAAGAGGAAGTGTGGCAGATACATGCATTCATGTATATACGGCGGCCATGATGTTTCTGAGGCATTGGCAACATTGTAGCGGAAGCAGTGGAATTCAGGTAGTGGACAACGTGTAGCGCAGTGTGAGGGTGTGCGTGTGAATAGGTGTCCTCACGAAGTGAAACCCGTTGAGCTAGTATGAGTGGCATGAAGGGCTTATTTGGTTTGATCGCCGTATAAAAGGGGGTAACCGTAACCAACGGGCCATTAAAGTGGTTGCGTTAAAACAGTGCGAAAAGTTGGTGAAAGTGCGCGAATAAAACGTTCGAAGTTTCTAGATACATAACTTATATTAAATAAATCCGCTAATGGTGTTTAGTTTTTTTGATGTCCGTCTTGAAGTGCTACACAGGAATAGGAGGTAAGTTAAGTGGTGTTTAAGAAGCATGCATCTAAATGTGTGTACATACATATGTACATTAAAGTGGTCCAAAAATGTATGTAAAAAAAAATAAAAAATTACGCCGGCATTAAAATTCCAACTTAATTTTTTAGGACCACTCTAATGTACATATATGCCCTGGCAGGCCTGGAGGCCTGTTGGGATAAACGTTCATATCCCAATCGGTTTAAGCTATTTGAGCTCACTTAAGAGTGATTGTCTTGGACCGCCTTGGTTGCGAAACGGCATCGATGAGATATGCGAGCATGCGTATATGCATATGTGCATATATGTATGTATATACATATGTGCGGATATACATCTATGCGAATGCTCACATAATGTTTTTAAACATCGACTAAACTCTGTTTGTCTTTGATAGGTCGCCAGAGGAAATAGGTCAAAAGGACCTCCATCCAGTTGGGACCTGAGAAGGATCACATCCAAACGGAGAAGCTACCTACATCACAATCACGTCCGTCCGACAGTAGCGACCAACTTCACAGCACCACTAACACGAAACGCACCGACACATGTAAAAACCAACGCAAATTGAAGGCACTGAGTTTTTTTCGACTATATAATTGTATACGTATGTCGGGCTGTGACGTGAAGCAGCGGACAGCTGATCCATCATACGTCCCAAAATAGTAGGTTGATGACCACCTAACCACGCTGGAAAGTATAGCTGAATATACCCGCGAGTACCGTCAGCAATAGCAGAGTGCTGGCAGACGAATGAGCTGCAAAATACACCAAAAACTACGTGAGAGCATCGGGACAACATTTAACAGCACGGACGCGAGCGGCTGTCACAAAATTACATTAAGCCCTCTCCTTGCTTTGTAGGCCATTCGCCTAAATTTTTAGTACTTTTTCCTTAGTTTCTGTACATACTAGTTACTGAATTCCTTTATTTTATTAGCTACATAGGTATATACATATATGTTTTAAGGATTAGTTATTGAACTTGTTAAATTTTGCTAATTTTAATTTTGTATTAATTCCTAGGCTCACGATTTCGAAGTTTCCCAGGCACTTCATNTAAGCCCTCTCCTTGCTTTGTAGGCCATTCGCCTAAATTTTTAGTACTTTTTCCTTAGTTTCTGTACATACTAGTTACTGAATTCCTTTATTTTATTAGCTACATAGGTATATACATATATGTTTTAAGGATTAGTTATTGAATTTGTTAAATTTTGCTAATTTTAATTTTGTGGTAATTCCTAAGCTTGCGATTTCGAAGTTTCCTAGGCATTTCACTTTATTTATATAGTTGTTAGTACTTACTTCCACACCGCCAGTTTCCAGGTTATTATTCCTTCTGGTTCCTTTGGTTTTGAGTTAGGTTACGTGATATCCATTTTTTTTATTCACCGCATGAATTTAGAGGTGATTTATACATATATGTATATATTTTGATATTTTACTTTCTTTTTATATTATAATAAGGGCACTTTGATTAGTTTTTTTTTTAGACCAAGACCTTTTAAACATACATACAAAGCCCACATAGAAATTTTGTTTTGCAGTTAGGCCTTTCTTTCTGCGTAATTCCTTTTTTTGCTTGAAGTATGAATTTTCACTAGTACCCACACTAGTACACGCACTTTCTAAATTTTTTTTGTTTTTTTTTGGATTTTATTCTTAATTTAGCTTGTTTTTTTTTTAGTTCACTTTAATTGAATTGTTTAGTACCTACTACACGTGTTGCTCCTGTCTAGTATGGTAAGACTAAAGGCGACCGGCTCGTTGCCCGCGATCACATGCGAATGATAGACAGGAAAGTGAATAGGGCTATAGCACCTCTACCGTAGTAGTGTGTACTTGTGTATATATGTATGATACATGTTTTTATATATGTTAGGGTATCTCTTCCCCCCCCTCCCCACAGGCTCCCAACAACGTGCTGGTACCATCATCGTTGGAGGTGACAGGTGAGTGAGAAACATTATTTTTATGATACCTATATATCTACATGCATACGTCCGTACATATAAATATTTATACATACATATGTTCACATAAGTACGTATATAGGTCAGGCCTCGCAGTGAATGAGAATGATAAGAGCAATAGCTGAAACCAAGTGTTTAAAACCGGTTTGGTTAATTTTCTTTTGGAATTTTTTTGTTCTGATTTGAGAGGATTCATTCAAGACTTCAGCAGCACTAGATTAATGTTTGTTTTGTCTTGGAATTATTTATACAGGCTTGCATGTACGAGTTAGTGAACATTAGGGTGAGCATCTTAGAATTTTGTTGAAATCCAAATATCTTGAATTCGGCCTTTTGTTTGGAATTAGGAACTTTACTAAGTTTTTTTTTGCATATACATGTAGTATACGTACTTATTTCGGATTTTTTTATTTATTTATTGTTAATAAAGATTTCTGCTGATAAATTGAAGTTTGGTTTGCGGTATAAAAATTAAGTTTTTTTATGATTGAATCTTTTGTTGAGTTTTCATTTAGTATAGGGCTTTTTTTATATGACTGAAGATAGGGTATTTACTCAAGAGAGGCGTTAAAGTTAAGGCTAAAATTGTTAAATAAAATGTATAATGTGAATTGTTAAAAGGAAATATGATTTGTTGATAGCAATTTTTGGTGTGGGTGTTGCGCTTGTGCGCAAGAGGGGACGTGAGAGTAAGGACAGGCGACATGACCGTTTGACTTGACGTGACGGAGTGACAAGGAGACGGACGTTTCACAGTTTTGGGGACGCTGTAAGAATTGAGGAGTCAACACAGCGTCCATGGCTTCCGTACAACGTACGTAGAAGAGGGTGGGTAGACTCCATTGACAGGACAGGCTTTTTCCTCTTACTCTCTTTCCTCTTGTCTGCAATTTCCGACGAATTTTGTGAATCGGCATGAATTCTTTGTTAGTGTGGCTTAGTGGAACGGATGCGAGGAGACCTACCCCAGCCGATGAGCGAAGCCAGGAACCACAAGCATGCCGTCTTTCCACTCCGCTCCGCTAACAACATACTGCTACACAACAAATGGCGCCCAACGCAATAGCCCAGTTATATTTTATTTTACCTTTTTTTTGCTTCTAATATTTACTTCGACTTTCGCCTTTTTAATTTGCCTTTACTATTCTAACTTACTTTATATTTCCTTCTTTTCTTCTTCTTTTCTCTATCTACCTTTGGACCGTGTTAGGGAGTCATGGCAACAACATCGCGGCGATCCGTCGCAGGCGATCAGTGTTGTAATGACGACGGGGGGATTTGTCCAGTTGCCTTCAGGGTTCCTTTTTCGGACTTCAGAAGTAACTAAGCGGTAGCTAAGGGCAGCTGGGGCATAGATTTGAGGGGTAAATTTTTCGATGTTTTTTGGTGGGACGTCTATTCAAGCTACCTTACAAGCAGTCTAGCACTGCTTGTAAGTGAGGTTTATGGTACGCCTTCACAAAGGGGCAAGGGAGGTGCGGTAACCATACCGTGCTATAAGCGGCAAGTGTTGTAGTGCCACATCTACTTAAATATCTATATGTACATACGGGGGATTAGTTGACTTGACGTGGGGCAGGCGACACACGGACGAATTATTCTCGCGGTGACCTCGCCAAGGCAACACCACACACACCAAAGCATGTATTTTTACATAGTTTCGAACACAACTCTAGAAACATTTAAGTACATGTTTATAAGCACACGCGACAGCAACAAACAAAGGTATTGATCTTCCTCATACTACAGAAAGTCGTGTAATAATTTTTTGAAATTCATATTCTAATCATATTAATATTTTTGCATATTTCGATTCGTCAATTAGGTTATGTGATATACATTTGTATCTAAACCAATTGCATGTATAAACGTAACACATCTACTCTATTTATAAAGAAAAAAAATATTTACATATACATATACAAAATATTATTGCTCTTGATTGATCTATCTCTTAATATACATATATAAATACCACTCAGAAATAGTTGGATTTAGAATTCATAATTCTTCGATTAATTATTTTTTTTTACACCGTGTGTTGAATAATTTTCTTTGGATTACCTTTGAGTTG